AAAATACTCCTGCGCGTAATTTTTTTCAACAATTTTTTTTCTTCTTCCTCTTCTTAGTTAGAAGAGGTTTCCCTAAGATATATTTTTCTATTACCACACTCATCAGCTATTTCACTTCTTGTGATTTCTGAGCATTATGGCCTCAAGCAAAGTATCAATCTTCTTCTGTTCGCCAGTAGAAATTGAGGACGCTATTATTATTGTCATTATTATTAATTTTCAGTATCACAATTATTTCGTTGAAAGGCGATTTCCCCCTATTCCCATCATAATCTGGCAGCAACGCAAGTCTCTAGCTCATTTATCCTGATTACAGGCGGACAAAGAAAAGAAGGTCAGGAAGAAGAAGAAGGAAGATGCAGGAGAAGCCCCCGCCGCCGCTGCCGCCCCAGCCGCCGAGACCAGAACCTCATCGAAGAGCTCGTCCAAGAAAGCTAAACGTTCTGGTTCCAGTGTCTTCTCCATGTTCTCCCAAGCTCAAGTAGCTGAGTTCAAGGAAGCTTTCCAACTGATGGACCATGATAAAGATGGTAGGCTCACCAATGAATTGTTTACTGAAATATTTTCCAATTTTCCATTCTTGATGGATACAAAACATGTAGGGTGAAAACGAATCATCTGAGAGAAATGTTCGCACTGATTCGTCTACATCAAAACTTCTATAGTCCCACTTGATCCTAATCTATTAGAAATTCCTCCATCAACTCAGAACAGAAGTAGCAACAATAACCGGATGATCCAAATGTCTTATACTCTATTCTGAGAAGGAAGTGGGCCATCAAAACATCTGACATTACTTTACCTTCCTCTGAGCTGAGCTCTATTTGTAGAATTGATAATGAATTGCCAACTTGGAAATACCTAAGTTGTTTCCTCATTGAAGAATGAATTACCATTACTGATGATGGTCTTTGTTAACTTTGTTACTTGTTACTGGATTCCTGGCCATCAGATTAGATTAGATTGTTGGGGAGCTGACCCCCGACCTGATTCACTGCGACCTATTCAGATCTATTGTGATGCTCCTTGGTTGTTAGAGCTCATTGTCTAGCTTGAACTCTTTGATGAGACTCCATAGCCTTGACAATGACCCCTTCATATAGCTGGATTCCTGGTCATACTGGCCTGCAAGGCAATGAAGCTGCTGACTGCCTTGCAAAGCAGGGTGCTGCAAGCAGCTTCATCGGACCNAAATTCCATCTAATTTTCTCATGGTTTAACCAGTATATGCAGTGAGTCAAGTATATAAGTTTGTATTCCAACAACTCACAAAACTCAGAGACTAAAATAATGTATATTTTATGGAATCGAATGAGATTTGAATAAAAATTTAATTTCCTATTCCACTTCGTCCGTTGTTTCAGTTTCCAACTTTATGAGTCTTTCCTTTCAGTAAAGCCAACATTTTTATCAGCCCCATCTATAGGAACCCACGAAAAGCTTTGAATGAAAAGCTCTGAACCACTAATTTCGTGGATATTTCTGAAAAGGGGCATGAAAGAACTTCAAGGGGATAATCGTTCAAATTGAAAAGAACTAGAATCTAGTTCAAATTGAAAGGGGTATATTTTTAATAGAGGAAGGAAGGAAACCATCAATTTCAAAGAAAATTATCAGGAATTAACAGAAATCATTTACAGGATTCCTACACAATATAGTTAGGTTAGTTTAGGTCCAAATTAAGTGGGTTTATTTGACCCTCCACCGCAACCCGAAAGGGTTTATTGTGGCTCACACCCATTCACACTCGTATGGTGATTGGTCTTTCAGGTCAAATGGTGAGAGTATGGCTACACAATATAGTATATGAGAGAGGTAAAACTTCACTCACATAGAACACTGTCATCCTCACTGGTGGACGCCGTAAGACACTTGCCAGCTCTTCAGTACCAGATCTGGTGCTGAATTGATTCATTAAATTACGATTTTATGTAATGGAATGAATTTATTCCACTCATGTCATTAATGACATTTAGAAGAGATTGATTTTTTGGGAATCAACCAACCTGGTGCTAAACAGATCCAACAACTAATGAAGTTCATTGGTCCTGATGCTTCGTTGATCATCTTATCAAGTTCCTTCCCGCTGGAGAGTTTACGAACATCGTCGAAGGTGGTTCTTAAATTCGCTGTTGCTAATGATGCCTGGAGAGGGTGAGACTAGGGAATGAGGTGCTAGATTTTAGAGTGATGTTGAAAACATTTATATGTGTTTGAATTAGGTATGCAAGTAAATCGGGAAACTTGACACAATGACCTTATAGTGGAGTTATCCGACTTCGCAAAGTCCTTAAAAAAAGGATGTTCCTAAAAATACAATTGAAATGTCCTGCTTGACACCGCAATGAGTATGAAACAATTTAGTTGCAGGCTTGCTAAGCTGGAACCAATGCCAAAATACTTTGCATTCATCATCTCTGTCAAATGAATACGAATATCAAACCAAGCCAACACCTTTCACCCTGAGAGTTTTTCAGCTCAAAATCTGAACGAAAAACTACTTTGGCAGATATATCAGCGACAAGAAGGCTAATATGATTCCTTTGAAACCAACGGAAGCAGTTTGTTGTATTAGCTCACAGAAAAAGAGAACATGCTTACCATGTTTTTACTACTTTTATTTGTAACTGACGTTTACTGCAGTTTTGTCCTTCAAGGACAAGGACAGCTTAAGGACTTATACATTAATGAATAAGTTTGAAAATGTCGCAACGTTA